GTGAGCTCTCTAATAGTAAGAATTGAATAATCAGTACATATTTAGTTTTCTTTTATCTGAGAGAGATACTTTCATTTTAACGTCTAAAGACGTAATGTAGAACATCGTTCACTATAAAAAGATGGATACAAACAAAAATGAATAATGTATTGATATAAGTTGTTACCTACAATTTAATGCAGTCATGTGGAAAAAGATTCCCATGATTCTTTTTCTTTTATATTAGATGTGTGGAGACAGATACCAAAACAAAAATATCTAAACATCAAAATCCTAGTAACCTTATTCCTCGCAAAAATCACTGATCGAGTTCTGGTCCCTCCTACCAAAGTTCACCGCTTGACAGCAACGACCTTGCCGCGGTCGGAAGTGGGTGAAAGGTGTTCCCCCTGAGAAAATACCTGCGTGCATGGCGAGTGTTGACCTGCACAGTCTGGAATTCAAGGTCATCCGGCAACACTTCCTATTGACGTAGGTGTCCAAATGACGTCGCTCTGTTTGTACACTAGCAAGTAATGGCAGAAGGGGTTCAGGTCTCTAAAGGATTATTTTGCGATAGTGGATCGGTAATTTATAACTGATTTTTTTTAAATCTGTTTAAGTCGCCAATTATTTTTATAAGAAGAAAGGTATATTTTTGATAATTTAAATATCCCATAAGGACAATACTTGTTTGATTTAATAAAAAAAAATATCAGTTTAATTTTTAAATTTAAAGGATTATTAGGAGTGAACTTCGCATTTCTCCAATTCGTACAATTAGTTCACACCAGTGGCGTAGCTACTTCCGATTGGCCCCCGTATCAAAATTCCTTCGGGGCCCTGTTTTTTTTTAAACGAAAGCCCTTTTAATTGTGCTGCAATTGCATATGTTGGGGCCCCTGTAGATTGGGGCCCCGTATCATTGATACGGCGGTAGCTACGCCCCTGGTTCACACTCTCCCTATATATATATATATTTATATATATCTTGTTCAAATTTTCAATCGTTAATAAAATACTTTTGATTCCTCCACTCAAATTCAAATACATTTTTTAAAACTTGTGGAGGATGACACTTGATGTTAATACAGCTTTTCAAATATTAATTCATAATTTAAATTAAAAAAGGAATAAATAGTAAAAATAATAGTCCAGCACCATATATAAAAAGGAAAATCGCTCGTTGTTTCCCTGTAGCGCAGTGAATAGTGCGTTGAACTTCTAATCCAAAGGTCGTGGGTTCGAATTCTATCTGGGAAGACCTAATTTCTGAGAATGTGATTTCTTTTTACTGTACTGTTTCATCGGGGAATAATTAAATTTAAATAATGGATAAATAGTAACAAACAAAAATAGTCCAACACCCTATGTAGAAAGGAAAATGGAAAATTGCAAGGAAAATAGCTTTCTATTTTGTCACTTAATATTGTGATTCAGTAATATGAATATACCATATTTATATTAATTGTAATTATTTAATAAAAAGTAGGTAAAATTTTTTTTTAGTTAAGTAAAAATTGACTTAAGACTTTTCTTTATATTACTTGTTGAACTACAGTTAAGTGACAAAGATGACGCCCATGCTAATTATTCTTTCATGTTACGACAGTCGATGTTTTGTTTTGAAATATCGTCACAGAGTTACTGATGACTAACTTTGGAATATTGCACTGTGATTAAGATATCACCCCGGATGTATTTTTGAACTACTGCACCAGTTTGTAGCCTAGCTCTAAAAAATGTAAACTCCCAAATTTCTGCACGACAAGACTTTTGCACAGAATCAATTCTTGCAACATTACTTGAACATTCTCTACCACGAAGTATGCTACCCTTGGTTATTGTAGCCATTTAAAAATCTTAATGTTTAATTTATGCAGTAATAAACAAAAGTATTAATCAAAACTACCGAGTTGGACAAAAAGGATTTTGGAGTCAATTAACACGTGTGCATTTTTCCTTTACCATAATCCCAGCAAATCTGTATTTATCCCAATATCAACAACGCAATAAATTATCAATACAAGATTTTGCGATTTCGGGTCAATTTCCGATAAGATTTGATTTACTGACTAAATTACAACATCACGTTTCAAGGCTTTATATGAGACTCCATTTTATTCAGCATGAATTAATGTTCTCTTTAAAACGACAGTTCTTAGAGAAAAGTTGAATCTGATTTTGATTTGATATTCTATGTACAAGACAGAGGGCATTTAAATTAGTTACACTGAACACATCAACTCCTGAACTATACGTAGTCGACGCGGTTTTGGATAAATGTCGCGATACAGTAAAATGTACTATTTATTGCCAACGGATTGTGTTATTTCGAGTCGGACCTATTGGAAGAAGACCCAGTAATTTTAAACCCTGGTCAAGTAAATGGACAAAACCCGAGCTGTGGCCACCTTCTCTCCAAACCCCTTTTAATCCTAATTGATGATCTTTCGTGAAATCCGGACACAAACCCACGAATAGAACCATCTACACAATAGAATCATTATGAACCAGCGATAATTTGACCAAGCCAGAGCAAATGCTCATTTTTGCCTTCTTTAAAATTCGTTTCCTTTAATCTCTGCATACTCTCCGAAATTTGATAAAATTATCTTAAAGAGCATCATCAAGAAATACCCATGACTGACAGCTCCATTGTGATTCCATTCAGAAATGGTTTAATCAAAAGTCAAGAAATGTCTTTATGAGATGTAAATTATATAAGTGCAATACATTGCGTAGGTTTACAAATTTATGTGGAAATATCCGTTTCGACCCTGTCTCAGTCATCAATCGAATAAGGATATCAAATGCCACAAAAGAATGAAATATAAGGCAAGACAATAGTCTGCTGAAAATTTACGAGACATTAATACAAATTACTTAGTTCATATACGAATGTATCCGTATTTATATTATGAAATCAATCGTTAATCTAGAAAAAAAATCTGAATAACTTTCTTGAATTTCTTGGGTTTGCTATTAGAGCTTATTTTGTACTGTGTAGACAAGGTTATTTCGTTATGAATGATAGTTTCCATACTTGCAAAATGCTACTTTATTATGGTATTAAAATAAATTTCTCAATTTCTGTATTACAGCTGTATTTGTATTGCAATCAACCCACTTTGTCTTAACAATCGACAACAAAGTTTTGAAATTTATAAATATCAAAATATAAAGCACAAATGAGACATGCAAATATTACGTATTTGGTATTCAAACTTGTGAAATTTAACTTATAATATATATTTTTTTTATTTTTAATTGAGAAACTTTAGAATTAAACTGTAAAGTTTGAAGTGCTACATTTATCAAAAGTATAGACATATAGTATGTAATAGCATCAGTAAGTAATCTATTACAATATATAATACTCCTAAATCTCATCCACGATTAAATTTGACTTACAAAGGGAGGGCCCGACTAAGGAAATTCATTTGGTAACGAAACTTGGTGTAACAGTAGTACTCCATTAAGGATGTTTAACCTGCAAAGTATTAGCGCCAAATGGCTAGTCAATTCGGAGAAAATATATAGCCTTCGAAATTCATACGTAGCTTTTATACAATTAAATTTTAATTAGTGTCAGAGACGCAGTAGCATAGATGATAGAGTACCGGCTTTGTACGCGGCCGGCCAACGTTCGAGTCACGTGATCGGTTTTAATTTTTCAATTCATTTAATTATTTTTACAATTAAATAAATTTATTTAAAAAAAGTTTAATTAAATATCAAATGATATTATAGATAATTATTTTGTATTTTAAAAAGTAAAATAATCACTGTAATTATATAAATATTTATATTATTTTCTATGAATATAATTATTAATCGATAATTTTTGTTAAAATACATTATAATAAATGTTAAATGGTATTTTGTATAAAAATTGGCTATAAATAGTTTTATAATAAGAAATACAATGCATTATAAATAAAATATTAAATATATAACATTAGAATAATACATAAAATATATTGCAATTATTTATAAAAAAATTTTATAATTAATATAATAAAAATATGTATCATATATTACTAATTTAATTATTTTATAATTAAAATTTAATAAGTTGTTTTTATATATAAATAAATTTATTTAATCGAAAAAGTAATTAAATGAATTGAAAAAAAAAAGAACGATCGCGTGACTCGAACCTTGGTTGGGAGCGTGCAAAGCAGGTACTCTACCATCTATGCTATTGCGTCTCTGACGCTAATGAAAAGTTAGTTGTATAAAAGTCAAGTATAATTTTCGAAGGCTATTTTCTCCGAATTGACTAGTCATTCGGCTCTAATACACACAATGACGGCTGAATATCCTGATAGAGTACTACTATTACACTAAGTCTCGTCCCTAATGAATTTTCTTAGTCGTGCCCTCCCCTTATTAGTCGCATTTTGAAAGTACACAAGCGCAACTCTGGCGGCACGCCCCTGTCAAGTTACAAGGACGACACCTGAGCTGGAACTCCACTCTTACAACCTCTACACCAACTTGAGGATTTTATCCTGTACATATATAACATACATTTGACTCGCTCACATTTTGATCTTCAGTGGCACTCGGATTTGATGTCACGACTCTACAATGCCCGCCAGGGGTTGGTAAACATGACAATTCAGTAACCACTGCCAAGGAATCTCATCTACAATCGAATTTTATAACTAAAAAATTCAAAACCTATATCTCAAGTTTTCAAAGCTGCTATCATGCTGACAAAGGTAAAAATATTGAGATGTTTGAAACTTTTCAGTATAGAGCTAGAAATAAAATTAAAAAATAGAAGCAACTTTTCTTTTAACACCCTTTTATACGCTTCACTTGTATGTAACGGAATCTTTGAACACTCAATTTTTACCCTCTTTAAAAGGTCAGATTAATTCGAAATTTTTCTCACTTGTCCAGAACCGAAGACAATACAATAATTTAATAATTTGGTTCCATTGTCTTGATCAGGATCATTAGGATTAACGATTTCCCATTTTCAGATCCCATCCCGCATCTGGCGACTAATATCAGATCCCATTTCTAGATTTGGCGACTAAAAGAAAAAGTTATAACTTAGTTCAATTGACTATAAAAAGGGTGTTCAGTTTTTTTTAAACTAATTTATTTTAAGAACAATTCAAATCAAATTGATTTCCGATTTCTTTAGCCTAAAAAAACTAGCAAAATTATGAGTCCAGACATTTGTATTCATGATTTGATTTGTATAAACATCCATTAGGATGTACAAGAGACTTATTAACGACAAATATTGAAAAATTTAATTCACGATGAGATTATGCGAGAAGGACATCTGAATGGGTACTTCATCTTTATATCTACGACGTAGTTGCTCTTTGAGATTTTATTCTATTTAAAGGACAGCAGCTTCGATATTTCACATTGCAGCTCTTTGAAAAACTCTGGGTTCGAATTAAGGTAACAACATCCCTGTACACAAATCGCATCTATTCATAACCTTAAAAAAATAGTCTCGGAATTAATGTTCACTAATGCTTTATTTCGATACTAGTTAGGTTTTTAAAGTAGCTTCATTCAAAATCTACATGTGATATGCTTTTCCGCAATGAAGTTTGTAATTTTTAACCACAATCAAAAGAAGCAACGGCTCGTTTAGTAATTCATTCTCCTCGGTTGGACACCATACTGTGTGAGGATTTTGAAGTCTAGTTCCATTTAAGATAACCAATCATTCCAGATAACATCATGTACTTAATGATGTATCACGCATGACTCAAGCGATAGCCAAATGATCAAGGTATCGCTCTGAGAGACGTTGTTTCAATCGGTCCCATCGTTGCACAAAAACACAAGGATGTTAAACTCTCCTCAAAGGCTAACTTAGGTCAAACAAACAAGGTTTAACTTTAAGATGACCCGCAAAAAAAAAAAAAAAAAAAAATATTCATAGAAACGTAGATTTCGAATAATAAATTATAATAAACATGTATAAACGAACAATTCGATGTTGAAGTCCTGATACTTGACATTTCTCTGGTACTACCGATATACTATACGGGGCGCAAAAATGTTCGTTGCGGCACCTCTACACAAAAGCAAACGTGCAATGAGCTAAACATTTTGTTGGCGCTTAAGTTTTTGCATTAGTGTATTTTGGAAATTAGAAATGGAGTACCAGCTTGGGAATCACTGTACCATGATTCAAAATTACAAGACTCATCGCAGTCTCCAAGTTACTCCCAAGTGTGACTTTATATATATAATAAACAATAAAAATCCACATGATT